GAGAATACTGTTCAGGTGCGGGAGTCCAAACCTGGAGGGCATCATTTTGAAGTGAGGGAGAAAGATTTAAAAGAGACCTGAGGGGCAATTTTTTTCAAGCAGAGCATGATGTGTGTATGGAATGACCTGCCAAAGTAGGTGGTGGAGGCAGGTACAACTACAACATTTAAAAGGCATCTGGATGGGTACATGAATAGGAAGGGTTTAGAGGGATATGGTTCAAATGTTGGCAAATGGGACTACATTAATTTAGGATATCTGGTCAGCACGGACAAGTTGGACTGAATAGTCAGTTTCTGTGCTGTATGACACAATGACTGACTGCTGAAGAATCCTGAGTGGAACAGACCTGCACACATTTCACACACACATTCACAAACACACTCATGAATATGCACAAAGATGTCAGTCTAAATTCTGGGCCCAAGGCCTGGACAACCTTGAACCTATGACATCCTGCCTTAACTGGCATCTGATCTAGTTTAATAACATGGACAATGCTAGATTTGTTGTCTATCACCAGTTACCCTTATCCTGATAGAACTCATTAGCGAACTAGTTGAGTTTTTAAACAATCTAGCATCTTCCTTGATTTTTTTTTTGGTTGTTCAGAAATTATGAAGTAAATTTACTTGCCAATGTGTGTGCTGAACACATGACTTTTAGTTTGCCACGGACCAAAAATCAGTTTTGTCTAATGATGTAAGTTGAAGCAAAATAAACTGTTTTTCCAGTATCTTGACCAACTTTCCTCTCTCAGGAAGAGAGGACAAAATCTTATGGGGGAACCAAGTGATGTGGGCTATAGTGAGATCTGTGGCAGAATCAGATGAAAGCTCTAGCCACCTCTAGATCAAGAGCATCTTGCTCCAACTTTTATGTTTTTCACATCTTGCAAGGTAGCAGGGAGTTGCCAATTACAAGGGATTATTGACTGTTAAACACCTTATTCACAGCCCACCTCATTTTATTCATAAGCTTTCTATCTTACCAAACCTACCAAATGAATTAGATATTGAGAAAGCATGAAAACCACGAGTACCTGACAAACCTAGCTCACCACTTGCTCCAATTGACCTCCATATTGGATGCTGGAAACGGCGGCTTGGTGGCTCAGTGGTTAGCACTGCTGTCTCACAGTGCCAGGGAACTGGGTTCAATTCCAGCCTCAAGCAACTGTCTGTGTGGTGTTTGCACATTCTCCCTGTGTCTGTGTGCTCTGGTTTCCTCCCACAGTCCAAAGATATGCAGGTTAGGTGGATTGACCATGCTAAATGGCCCGTAGTGTCCAGGGATGTACAGGCTAGATGAATTAGCCACGGGAAATGCAGGGTTACAGGGATAGGGTAGGAAAGGGTGGATGTGGGTGAGATGCTCTTCAGAGGGTCGGTACAGACTCAATGTGCCAAATGGCCTGCTTCCACACTGTAAGGATTCTATGATTCTATAATCTCAGGGCACACTGCATGGGGACTAGCCACATGCACCTCACATCTGTGGACACTGGCATCCAATATGTGCCAGGCTCTAAGAATCCTCATGGCACATTTCCACTCCATTTACAGTATGTTTTTGCACTTTAATGCTGCCATTGTAATGCTGCAGCAAAGACACTGTGTGAGAGTGGCAGTGCTGGCTTGGGAATGGCACATGGCAAGATGGGACTGGGATAGGATGGAAGGGGCAACATGGGCAGGGTAGGTAGGTAATGAAGTGGGTTTGGCAAGATAAGACAAGAAACTTTGCTAGGTCTCAATGGAAAAACCCAAAACTCATCATAATCCAGACTTAGCCAAAAAGGGTAAGATACAGTGCGGGTTAACTCATCATTTACCGTTTGTTCTGTGCAAATATTTTGCTACATTTTCTCATAAAACAACGGAATTACACTTCAAAAGTCAATTATTAGTGTTGAAGTGCTTTGGGACAATCGGAAGAGTTGATAATCAGTAAAGAAATCAGAAGAGGCAGGAAAGTGGAGTTGAGGATTATTAAATCAGCCATGATCTCGTTGAATGGTGGAGCAGACTCAATGGGCCAAGTGGCCTACTTCTGTCGCTATATCTTATGGTGTTATGCTCTTATAAAACACTGTAGGAATGCATGTCCTTCCATCTTCTGAATAAAGTTAGCAAATTGTAAACACGGGCAGCTTCCTTCTCTTACCCAGAGTGCCATATGTGAGAAAGGATGCTAAAGCAATGCGGTTAGGGGGAGAAAAGTTAACTCTCAAAGAGTGACTTCTTTGCTCTTTCAAAGGTGTGATTTATAACTGATGATAAAATATTTAATCAGCTAATCACTCAGTTACAATTTATGATGCGCATCAAGTGCTTTGGCTGATTGGCTGCTCTTTCTTTGCTTGTGACAGGTTCTTCAAGGTCTTGACTATCTACACACAAAATGCAAAATCCTGCACACGGATATCAAACCAGAGAATATCCTTTTGTGTGTCAACGAACAATACCTCAGTCAATTGGCAGCTTCTGTACAACAGGAAGTGGGAGAAGCACCTCTGAGATTATCAGGTAATGACATTGAGAATTCCTTCTCAAGGGCGACTCAGGACAGGCAATAAATGTTGGCTAGCCAGTGACACCCATGTCTTATAAGTAAATAAAACAAAAGTTAACATTCCAAAAAAGGCATTTTGTCTGGCTTTCCCAAAAATGTAACTCATTCCAGGTTCTCAAAAATACACGATACTGGATTTAATTTGCTCCTTTGCTTTATAATGGGCAGCTTTTCATCAAACAAAACTACACTATATAGTTCCACAGGAAAGAATTTGTAGCTTTCAACTTCATTACATGTGCACATTGCTCAAAGTGTAGCCATTTATGGGTCAATGTTTTCCAAATGCCTCACAATTGCCAGGGACAAGACAAAAATGTTAAGAAATGTGCCAACCCTGAGCAGAGGTTTCAAATCTCCTTGAGTTGATTTGGATTTTTCTTGTGATTCACAGAGGTAATGCAAGCAAAGCAATCACTTGTAAACCCTTTGGACCCTAAACATGCTGAAAAAATAGGTGTGAAAATTGTGGACCTTGGAAGTGGCTGCTGGACGGTGAGTTCTGTTGGGATGCAGCATCACCGCGATGGTTTTGTAGCCCAAATGCTCAGTTACATAGCTGGAGGATACTGGACACTGGAAGTGTGCTTGAGCAAACTGTCATCCCTCTTCCTCCATCCTGTACTAATCACTTCTTCTATCCCCTCTTTCTAAAACAACGCACATTCTCCAATGCCTTGCCAAAGGACAGAAACCCATGCCAGAACAGTACAGTTCTGCAATGCTTTCATTAGTGACAGAAGATCCAAAGTCACTTTTCATTCCTTGAATGGCTACATGTGCTCAAAAATTTCTCGTGGTACATCTAATGCAATGGATTAGTAGCTTTATTTAATAGTATCCATGCAATAGCTTGCCTGGAATTGCTTCAAGGAATGTTACACAGAGAGCTTCATGAAATATCTTGTTGAAACTCGACTTGACCCATAAGTGGGTGATAATAAAGCTTAATCAGATTTGGATATCTATAATTCTACAAATTATCTGAACTCTTCACAAAATTCTAATATCCCTCCGAGGTGCAGCATTCATTATTCTGCACTGAGTACTTGGAGTGACTTACAATGTTATTGGAAAACCCTGTTTAGTGCCAAATAAATGAGATTTTTTTTGTAAGTTGTAAATCATTCTACTCTTGTCATTTTTCCAGTTTAAGCATGTTTCAGAGGAGATCCAAACCAGACAGTATCGTGCACTGGAGACTATCCTTGGAGCTGGCTATGGGTCCCCTGCTGACATATGGAGCACAGCCTGTATGGTAAGAAATGTGGTAACGCTTACAACTTTCTAATATCTGTGACATACCCTTTGACGATACTCAATTATGTGCAGCACAGGTGAGCTTACTGCAGCATAAATCAAATGGACCAGTAAGCAGTCATACCTGCCTCAGGCCTATTCTGAACCTAATACGCTCAGTAAATCTGGTTTGATTTGGTTTATTTATTGTCACGTGTATATTGTTGCAAAGTACAGTGAAAAGTGTTGTATAGTGTCGCCACTCTCTGGCGCCATCTTAAAACACGGAAAAAATAAACCAAAACATAGAATATAAAGGGACAACAACAGAGGTCACAAGGAGGCAGTCACCAGTTAGGACAAGGCAGTGTTGCTGCAGGGGGTGTTGGAAGCAAGGACAGGGTGGGCTGTCTCTCAGCAGTCATCAAGTCTCGTGTCTCTTGCTCAGGGACAGCAAGGGACAAACCCTTGCCCCTTCCCAATATGCTGCTGGCAAATCTGGTGTGTGGTGTAAAGCCTTTTAAGTGGCTACTCAGGTGTCTCAATTAATTTGCAGATGGGAATGGGATTTTTCCCACCAGAGGCCAGTTGGGAGAGTCAGAAAAGTGTTGAGCTCCCCAAACCACGCACCCTGCTCAATTGAATGGCCCATCTCTTTCTCCCCTCCTGGCTGGTGGTGGTGGTAGGAGGTTGGAGTTGGGGAGTGGATAGTAAATTACATTGAGTCAGCACAACTCAGAAGGATGGCAAAAACAGAAATTGCTGAAGAAACTCAGCGCGTCTAGCAGCATCTGTGGAGAGAAATCAGTCTTAACATTTTGGAGTCCAGTGACCCATCCTCAGGAAGACATTTGGCCCATCAAGTCCATGCCAAGTCCATGTGAGGTAAACATTAAACAAAAAAAAAGCAAAGAACTGCAGATGCTGGAAATCAGGAACTAAAAAAGAATCTGCTGAGAAAACTCAGCAAATCTGGCAGCATCTGTGGAGAGAGAAACAGAGTTAAGATTTCAGGCCCAATGACCCTTCTTCAGGACAGAAGGATCTGAAGAAGGGTCACTGGACCCAAAACATTAACTGTGCTTTCTCTTCATGTGAGGTAAACTTATCATCTCCATCTCTTCTTCTGTACAGATACTTCTTGAGATTTTGGACAGAGTGGATAGAAAGCAGCTGTTCCCCTTAGTTGAAGGGTCAATAACAAGGGGGAACACTTTTAAGATGAAATATTTAAAGGGGAGTTGAGAAAAATGTTTTTCACCCAGAGGGTGGGTCCAGAATCCACCGCCAGGGAGGGTTACAGATGTGGGGAACTCCATAATTTTTAAAAACTACTTGGTTGAGCACTTGAAATGTCATGACGTTAAAGGCTATGAGCTAAAGTGGGGCTAGAGTCATAGAGTTTTACAGCAAGGAAACAAACCCTTCAGTCCAACTTGTCCATGCCAATCAGATATCCTAAATTAATCTAGTCCCATTTGCCAGCATCTGGCCCATATCGCTCTAAACCCTTCCTATTCATTTACCCATCCAGATGCCTTTTAAATGTTATAATTGTACCTGCCTCCATCACTTCCTCTGGCAGTTCATTCCATGCATGCACCACCCTCTGCATGAAAAAGTTGCCCCTTAGGTCCCTTTTAAATCTTTCCCGTCTCACACAAAACCTATGCCCACTAGTTTTGGACTTCCCTACCGTGGGTAAAAGACCATGTCTATTTACCCTATCCATGCTCCTCATGATTTTATAAACTTCCATAGGGAGACTCCTCAGCCTCCGACACTCCAGGGAAAATAGCCCCAGCCTATTCAGCCTCTCTCTTTAGCTCAAACCCTCCAATACGGACAACATCCTTGTAAACTTTTTCTGAACGCTTTCAAGTTTCACAACATCTTTCCTACAACAGGGAGACCAGAATTGCACGCAGCATTCCAGAAGCGGCCTAACCAATGTCCTGTACAGCTGTAACAAGACTCAACTTCTATTCTCAGTGCACTGACTAATAAAGGCAAGCATTCCAAAGGCTTTCTTCACTACCTTGTCTACCTGTGACTCCACTTTCAAGGGGATTTAGTGTAGCTTTGGTAGCACAGATTTATTGGTTCTGTACTGCACTATTTGCTTCTATGATTCTTTAGACAAGCCCAATTTTGGTGAAGAAATTACAGAGAAAATCACTCAATGGAACAAATCTGTGAAGCAGTATTCCTTAACTTTTATGAAATAACATAATTCCCGTAATTACTTTTGCTGATCCTTCAGGCACTATGTCATTAATATTTGTCCAATTCTCCCCTCAGGGATTATCTTTAATGTTTTACAATCCAAAACTTATTGAACGTCAGATTTTATTCCATTAGTAATGCAAACAGGAATTGACAGAGGTCTCTTTTTACCTATGCAGGCATTTGAGCTGGCAACAGGCGAGTACCTATTTGACCCTCGATCTGGAAAGACTTTCACTCAAGATGAGGGTAAGGGAGCATCTTCTTATTCATAATTTGAAAATGAGGAACTGCAATTTCACTCGTGTTAAATTGGAAGTGATGGTCAGTCATCAGTGCAAAGTGTAGAATCCTGGGCGGGTGCCTCCCTGTCATAGGCATAATTTCACGATCAATGTGTTAAAATGGGCTTTTCACCACCCTCTTTTAGTATTCTTTGTTCCTCAGTGCTGGTAGGGGTTGAAGTGCAGCACTATATATGTTTTGGGAGGATGAAGAAATTGACTACCTTTTCCAGAAAGTTAAGAGGCCAACTTTGTGAATTGACTTTGACAGATCAGTCCTAATCTAATCTCACTGGCATGGTCTCTCTCTCTCTCTCTCCACAACCCTGTACCTTCTAGGTTCTTTCATGAAAGTAATTTCTCCCCATCAGCTGTGGTGTTCCAACATGTAACACACACTATCCTTGGGTAATAGAGGTGGTATAGAGTTGTACTTGACCATTCCATTCCAAAAGTGACCACTGAACTTGAGTAATACTGACATCCTCGTCAACATGTCTACCAAAACACTGATGAATTAGTTAATTATTTGTTTGAAAGTGTTGATATGGAATAGCTGCTACATTTGCATGAATAACAGGCATTGAAGTTGAAATGTAGTCCATTCCAAGAAGCACCTTGGCACATTTGGCATAATGCCCATTCATACACATAAACCAACAACTTATAAGCCTTTTCCTTAATTCTTTCGTGGGACATGAGCATCACTGGTAAAGGTAGCATTTGTTGCCCGTCCCTAATGGTCCTTGAACGGAGTAGCTTACTAGGCATTGCAGTCAGTGGTTAAAAGTCAACCATGTTGCTCTATTTCTCGATTTGCATGTAGGTCAGATCAGGCAAGACTTGCTTCCTTAAAGGACATTAATGATCTAGTTAGATTTTTATGGCAATTGTGGTCACCATTACTGAGAACAGCTTTCAATTCCAGATTTCATTATTTGAGGTTCCATCAGCTACTGCTCATTTGAACCCATGTCCCCAGAGTTTTAGTCTAGGCTTCTGGATTACTAATCCAGTGATATCACCACAATGCCTCAATCCACTACTCACACAATATACATCTAATGGGAATGTAGCAGAACATCCTGGCCTTCTCTGTATTTTCACATTAGGTTCGAAATGTAACTTGGAGAGCTAACCAGGATGGCTAGTATGGGAAATTAAACTATCAGTAATATAGTATAAACTATCAGTAATAAGAAGCAGACTCTGCTTCTTAAACTGTGTATATCATGAACATGGGAAATAAATTATTAACATTCTTCCTCAGTTTGGATGAAAAGTGTGGAAAATGTTAAATTCCCGAGGCACACGTGACTTGTTCTGTTTTAAGGAAGATTTTGCAAAACTGAGATACCCATCACTAACCCACATTGAATTGAATTCACAATCATACGTTTACACCACAAATAGGAACATTGGCCCAGTTACATATGATCCACAATTTATGCAGTTCCTTTGGGTCCAGCAGCCTAAAATTTGTCTGATTCTGCCAGTGAGATACCTATTTAGTTAATTATGGGATAGATTTATTTAGTATAAATGATCCAGTCAACAAGTAATCTAACCTACTGAGTTATGCAGGGACAAAATGAAGATTAACTCCCAAGAATTCTGGGGTGATATTCCTGCCTCAGCAATGCTTTCACATGAAGATAATTTCCAATAGCAAGAGGAAAAAAGTCAACTTGAGAATCACTTTGGTCCACTTTTTGAGGAACCATTCAGTAGTTACTTGCACAGCAGCACTAGCTGAGATTAGGTAGCACTGTTGACTTGAAGGATTGTACTGTATTGAAAGAAAGAGGGAAGAAGAAGAAAGGCCAGTTGATGAACAAAAATAGTTTGTGATATAAATAGAATAAATTAACATTAAGGGAGTAATTTTGTATGTTCTTCTCCTCGGATCTCTGAGTAGCAGTGAACATTTTAATTGTAATGCATCTGAAACATATATTCCAATATTACCAGCTGTGCCTGCCATTATAGTCCTGCTCCAGGAACAGGAACTCAGAATCAATTTCCTGTCGCGTACTTTTAATAATAAATATTATATCCCTTGTCTTGCCAGTCAACCTTTGGTGAGAGGTATGAATGTTGTGTGCAATGAGTAACTTAACTGTGCAATATTGTAATCAGGCTGACTTGATTACCCTCAAACTTGCTTTTACTATCTTGCTATTCTCTATCTTATTATCTATGTCTTCTGCCTTGTCACAGCTCAGGCTGACAACAATTTCCCAGTGTCATATTAGTGATGCTGGCTTACTTGCCACCATATGAAATCTGACCTTCCACCTCCAGGTCAGTGGATCCTACACGTGTACACACTAACACGTGTGCACATACACACCCTGACATGCCAAACATGCATCGATAAAGTTAGCAAACAAGCCAACTGAATCATTATTTTCCCAACTCACTGTGTAACTGGACTTCTTCAATTACAAATTTCAGGTATGTTCAGTGCATCTCAGTCTGGTATAGATTTTGTCTTTTGCTCAGCGTTCTACTTTCTGGAGATGCTATTTCTTATTTCATTTTCTGTCAGTAAATTATGTCAAATTTTCATAAAATCATTTAACTTTGGCATGATCTGCCTGTGGTCTTAGTAACTCTGGTTCCAGAGCTGACAATGGTATTTCCTAATCATGATAGAGTGATCAATGTTTATCGCTTTGGACAGAAGCTGTCTGCCTGCTCTTGGCATTGCTGGTAAGGACTTTTAGGTTTCTGGATGTCAGCATTGCTTCAGCTTTTACATATGGTTTGTCTGCTGCTTTATCTTTGTCACTATGACACCTACTGACACTTTAAGAATTTTTGTCATGTAGTACTCCTCACGGTGACTGCACTGTCACACTATTTCCCTCCTTGGCAATGATAGTGTACAGCTTGGGGTAAAATATTGTATCCGTCTTCCTCAGACAGTACTTCATCACCTGGCATCACATCAGGTGGTCTAGTTTCTTTCCTGTAGTCCCTACAAAACTTTGAAGCAGTATTTTTTTCAGAACCACCATCATAAACCTCCTTATCAACATTGACATTCCTCAGCCCTGGTATCTAGGAGTGTCTTTTGAGTCCAAATAACAATTCAGTTGGCTTTTTCCCATCATTATGTGAAGAGTTAATCTATACATGGCCATATATGACAGCAATGCCTCCTTACAATCTTTGTCTTCAACCTGAATAATCCTCATCCATGTCCTTAAGGATGGGTTTGGTGGTTCCACGTCCGAGTTTGCCTATGGCTCTTTAGGGGTTGCTTTGTGAGGTTGACTTGCTTGTAATCTTCTAATGGTCTATGAAATCTATTGTGGTATATTGTGTGAATACAGAGTGACTGGCAGACCATTGTTACAATAATTTCAATTTTAATCAGGTTTATTGTCACATGTACTCACATGAGAACAGTGAAAAGTTTACAAGTCGCTACTTACGGCACCATCTTAGGTACAAAGGTACCTAGGTGCAGAATCTTAGGTACAAAGCAGAAAAATAAGGAAAACAAAGTTAAAAAGTTAAACATTGCAGTATTTCTGGAAAAACAAGGAAACACAGTTAACAGTTCAACGCCACAGTCCATAAGCACCTGGTCATCACAAGGGCTCGACCTCCCCAATTTCGGGCTTGACCTCACACCCACTGATCCTGCGGGCTGCCTGCTCTCATTGCCTTGTAGCCTGTCCCTGCTCCCGCTGCCACCCTGAGCTGCCTATCCTGCTCTGGCCGCTGGCCTTGACTGTAACCTTCCTCTTCCTGTCAGTACCATATGCTCTCCCTTTTAAACGTGTTATCTGTGTTTTTGTTTGTGTGATGTTGTGTTTTTTTTTCTCTCAGGGTTAGCTAGCAATTACATTCTTATTTCTTTCACTCAAGACAGAACCTTCCTTTATTTTGAACATTAACTACATTTTAGTTGAAGTGCGATAGCTGCATTCTAAAAGAAAGTAAAAAAAAATGGTTGTGACCAATCATGGGGAGAGGTTAAAAGAAAGGAGCTGAATCGTTCCTCATCACCATGGTTATAACATCATGCCTCATAACTATTTCAGTTGATGCAAACACCATTTTCTCTGCTGATGTGGACTTCATCACAACATGCTTGTAGTAACAGCTGTAGGAGTCAATCACCTCTAGCATCGACTCTTTTAATGGAAATGGACATAATAATTCAACTGCTGCATTAATAGTGTGTAATAGTGTGCTGTTTACTGGTTTGGGTGGATTGGGTCTGCTGACAAGTTTACATCTATGACATGTTTTGACAGATTGCTCTGCATCTTTCTCCATGCCTGGTTTACCATACTTTGGTTTATAAGTTTTGCTTCCGACAAACCACTCACAAGTGATCCTTGTGAACTAGCGTCACCAGTTTAGGCTTAGACTTTTGTGACACGCACAAGTCCACTGGTTCTGAGAAGACATTACCCAATTTTGCACGGTTCATCACACATAGCAGTCAATTCCTTGAATAGGCAACTCTCCCAGTTTTCAGCTCAAATTCTCATTCAGTTGTCAACTCCAGATGTTTTTCTGATTCTCTTTCAATTGCTCTGGGTGAAATTAGGCAGGAAATTAAGCAAGAGCTATCACAAACTGTACAAGTGATTCAGTTTCCTTCTGCTTGTTTGATCTTCCTTTGGAGGTTATGACAGCAGGTCAATGATGTTCATCTTTCCAGTAATAAACATGCACAGCTGAAGTGTAAAACCCCATCTTCCAATTCTGGCACACGGCAAGATTCCAGCTGAAAAAAAATCATCTCTCGTGGTTTGTGATGAGTCGGTAATGCAAACCTGATGCTGAACCAGTACACATGGCATCTTGCACACCCAAATTAATTCTAGACCCTCTTGCTCTGTCTGAGACTATTGCCTCTCCACGTGTGTCAGAGATCTGCTCGCATAAGCAATAGTTACCAGGCCTTCAATGTACATCTGTACCAGCACTATTCCTAATCTTACTGGACTAGTATCTGCCATGTCTGTAATTGATGCATTTGCATCATTAGGATTTGAGCATTTGTCTACCTGCTTGTTGAAGCTTTGAAAGCAACCACCTTTCATTCTTTCTGTCAACTTTCACAATGGTTCAGTGGAGTTTGAAATGTACCTTGATTTATGGTTCACCAGCCCCAGAATTCTCACCTCACAGGTATTTTGAGAGTCATGTGCCCATCTGGATTTATTCAGCCGCTCGCAGGTTTATGCCCATGAATGCTAGCTCCGTCACACCCAGCAGGCTCTTATCTGCCTTTACCAAATACCCTGCCGACTGCAATCTAGCTAATATTAATTTCAGCCTGTCAATGTGTTCCTCACTATTGGCTTCATGAAACAGATGTTATCTGAGACATTAGCTTTCCTGGAATCCCAAGTATTACTTGATAGATTTTGGGAAATTTCTGGTTCCGCACTGATGCCACGTCGCAATCTTTTATATCAGTAAAGTCCACAATGAGTGACAAAAAGTTGTCACCTTCCAAGAAACAGGATGAAACTGGCTGGTGTAATCCTCATTTTAAGTCTAATTTGGAAAATACTTTGCTTGTTGACATTTTCTGAAATCGTTTTTCACAGTGGGAGTTGGGTAACTTTCTTCCATTGTCATTCCATTCACCTGTTACATAAGAACAATAACAACTGCAATAGGGTTCATCCATGGTGTTGGTCCATCAACTGAGTTCAAGGTGCCTTCGTCAACCAGTTCCTTGATCTATCCATCGACTTTGCCTCTCAGATCAAAAGGTGTTCTGCGTACAAACTGAGCTACAGGGTTCACATTCTCATCTCATCACTTAGTGACTGTGTAACTTCTAAACTGGTCCAGATTTCTTTCTTAGCTTTGCATAGGACTTCACAGAATTCATATTGAATGTGACGTATAGCACCCCAAGGCTTGGGCAGTTTCTATACCGAAGAGAGATTCATTATTTTCTTTGATTACTACAAATTCTGTCTCTACATTCTGATCTCCAGTTCTCACGTCCTCGGGGAAACATCTAATGGTTTGAAGAGTTGTTTTTGACGTGTGAGGATAGAACTTTCAGATTTTCAAGATTTGCATTTAATTTTCCTTGTCTTCACCTCCTCCCACAGTGCTCTGTTAACGATGTTACTGTCTCTGCCATAATCTACAATAATGTTCAAACCCACATCACCAACAATACTGGAACATTCCCTGGATTGCTTTCATTGACAGAAAACATGTATCGATAGTTCTATTAATGTCCTCACTCTCTGCATCAGCTTCAATTCACCTCACAAGTATCATATCTTTTCCCTTTACATTGTTTGCCGGGCTTCCACTCTCTTTAGCTTTGCTTCTGCACTTCTTCGCAAAGTGGTCTTTGCCCCAAAATGTGTGCATATTTTTGCCTTGGCAGAGCAGCAGCCATCTTTTGCATATTGTCTCAAATTGCCACATCTGAAACACTCTCTATCAGTCTTTTGTTGCTTGTATTTGTGCATACCTGGATTCTATTATGTTACTCAGCTCACTTCAGCATTTGCTGTGCCACTGGCAGAGGTGAGGCCAGGTTTTGTGCTTTGAAATTGTCTATCCACTGCTTCCAATGTAGTTACTATTTTCAAAGTGTCATCCAATGCTAATTAACCTCCTCATTCCAGGAGCTTGCACCTCAGGTTGTCATAACTGCAATGTTCGATCACCTGATCCATTATCCAATTATTCAGATCCATCAAAATATAATCATATCCATCAAATACTTGTCTCAAACAAGTCACAAATTCAATTACTAATGCTCTTGTTTTGTTTCATCTGCAAGAAAGTATGTCTTTGGAATGATCCTTCTTGGCTTTCACTACACATTCATAAGCAGCCTTTGCTCCACTGTCAGTCAATGCTTTGAAAGCTTCCTTCATTGAAGCCCCTGCATTGAACAGCAGTAAGGCTTTCTGCACCATTGTTGCCGCTCACAGACAGCAACTGTCAGCACACACTTCAAACTTCTCCAGTCATGCTCTCTGTTTCATGTTAACAGGACTGGAAATCACCCATGGGATCAAATAGCTGAATTCCTCAGATTGCAGACATATCAGCTCCAGCAAATGCCCTGCCACAAGCTTAAATACTTTCATGCTTATAAAATCTCTACAGTGTGGATGCAGGCCATTTGCCTATTATGCCCACACCGAACCTCGAAAGGGCATCCCACCTAGCCCCATCCCCCTACCCTAAACCTGTAACCCTGCATTTCCTATGTCTAACGCACCAAGCTTGCACATCCCTGAACACTATGGGCAATTTAGCATGGCCAATCCACCTAAACCGCACATCTTTGGACTGTGGGAGTAAACCAGAACACCCAGAGGAAACCAATGCAGAAACGTGAAGAATGTGCAAACTCCACACAGATAATCGCCCAAAGGTGGAATTAAACCCAGGTCCCTGGTGCTGTGAAACAGCAGTGCTAACCACTGAGCCACAATATGTCGCCCTGTTGCTAATGTCACTTCCCAAGCTAAAAGAACAATATTCAAAGTCACAAATCCAACTGCAGGTGTCACATTATTCAGACTGCCATGCTGACTAAATGCTCAACATGTGTTATCTGGCCTTCCATCTCATGTCAGGTGACCCCTCAGTAGTATCCAATAATTGAACAAACTTGGGAAAACAAACACACATACACACACACACACACACACACACCATTATTATCTAAGTTTGTCTAAGTTTCATTTTTCTGTCTCTTGATGCCATTGACTGGGAGAACAAAGCACGTCCTGATCCATCAAGGAGCAAGCCACAATGAGGCTGCAAAGTGGTATGATAACAGCAAAGGAAAGGGAAGGGAGACAACCTGGGGTCATGAGTTCCGTTTCCCTTCATAACAATGTGCCCCTCACCCCCACCACTGCAGACAAACGTATGAATCCAAAATTCAGCTTCTCCTCCATCTGAGGACTTATTTAGCCTGACCGTCAACCTTGATTCCAAAGCACCACAATAACATGTCAGTCAAGATGTTTGTTGCTTTCTCGCCTACTCCTCACTCTGATCATTCTTTTCCTGTCTGTCAGTTTCCACAGCAGTTCAATATTTCTCTATCACATACTCTTCTCTCTGGAGCTAAAACTTCCAGGATTTTTGGAGGGTAGGTTTGTTGTGGAGTGTCTGGGGGTCTAGCTCACGCAGGGAAGGTTTGTTAATTTTGGATTGGTCTTTGGGCCAAGTAGGGTTCCACTGTTTCCAATCTATTGGAATTCTTGGCATATGTTAAAGACAGGATCAAAATACATTCGGTCCCATATTCCCTCCATTTACACTGGACACGGGATACCTAGAGCAGAGTACCAAAACCACCTGAAGAAGGCAATGTGAAATGCATAAAATGTTGAAGCAATGCTGACTAGATTAATTTAGGATATCTGGTCGGCATGGCAAATTGGACTGAAGGATCTGATTCCATGCTGGACATCTCTTTTAGTCTATTTCTTTAATGCAGTGGGGACGTGCAGGCTTGCTGGTAAAATGGAACGGAATGGTAAAAAGAACCCAAACTCACGGTGACATTAAAGCACAAGACAGAAGACCCAAGGCCCATGCAGGAATTTTGGGCCCTTGTCCTTGGCTGTTTACAATTTATTTTTTGACATTTTTGGTGTCTGACTTATAGCTGTGCACTCTCTCACTCTACACATACACCACTTCTCTACCACATGCACTGGCACAGACTGATACATTGATTTGAGCAATGAGTACCCTGCCTATAGTTATTTTACAAATGGAATTTAGTGAATCCACCTACTCATGCATAGACAGGTTAACAGTTAAATAGTTTTTATAAGATTTGCTCTAAGGCACTTTACTCTATCATGTAAATAGATGTTGTTTTCCTTTATTTTTCATTATTCATCTTCCATTCCTTCTTCCGTTACAGACCATGTTGCACATATTATTGAACTGCTGGGGAGAATCCCATTGAATTGTGCATTATCTGGAAAGTACTCCAAAGAATTTTTCAACCTGAAAGGTATAGTAACAAATCATATAAATCCTGAACTGTGTTAAGTACAAATTATTATCTGTAAAGTCTATAATTCTCTAACATCATACTTTAAAGTTTCCTCGATAAACTAGTGCATTAGTCTTAGTTTGACCATGGCTGGGCTCAAGTATCTCTTTACCCAGTTTGTGCACGTAATTTCACACCTCCTTACCTAAGTAACATTGAGATGAATTTTAACATCTGCTGTATCAGGCGTAACTGGTTATCTGAGAAAAGACCAGAGATCAAGTCTGGGATCTTCTGGTGTCACTCAGTACCACACCACACCATAGAGAGTGCCTGCTTTTTACTGTATATGTCTAAGCACCAATTGGCTAGCACACAACTGATTAATTTCTGCAAGGAGTCTCGAAACTCTCCATGTGCCAAAGCCTCAGCTGGGAAACATTTCTCATTTCAACTTCCAGGAATACCCACCACAGCTTCATCCAGTCTAATTTATTTTTCGGGTTATATCTCTAGGTCAGTTGCCTCTGAGACTCATTTGACTTTGTAAACTTTCTTTTACTTTTTTATAAACTCACATTATGACACACCTCAGTGGCCATCACATCGTGAGTTTGTGAACTCAGACCTTCAGGTCCAAAGGTAGTGCAAGGTAGTTAACAATAATGAGAAAGAAGTGTTTTTAAAAACAGGGATTTACCAGGATGCTACGTAATTTCAAAGCAAGGAACTTGATACCTATTGTGAACTCTGTTTCTTGCGGCTATGGGTTCCTGCAATGGGTTGTGCAGATAATCAAGAGCGAAGGAGTTGTTTACAAGTGGTGCTGATAGATTCCCAGCTAACTGAGCAGGTTGGAAACTGAAACAAGTTGCAGAGGCACAGACACAGATAGAGAGACACACACACACACACACACACACACACAAGGATTACAGTTAAAGTTAGGTTTACGATTAGGATTAGGGTTAGGGTAAGGATTAGGATTAGGGTTACAGTTAAGGTTAGGGTCAGAATTAGGGTTAGGTTTAGTGTTAAGGTTAGGGGTAGGGTTCGGGTTAAGGTTAAACCTAAACCTAATCCTCACACTATCTCCTAACAGAAGCTTTTGTTCCCAGCTTTAAAAAAATACCTCAGTTTAAACTTTAAAAAGTTACTTTTCCTTTGATTTGTTTTAATTTGATTTTATTTGATTTATTATTGACAGATGTACTGTGATAGAACAAAGAACATAGAACAGTACAGCAAAGTACAGGCCCTTCGGCCAACGATGCTGTGTCGACCTATTAAGATACAGTGAAAAGTTTTCTTTTACGTGCTATCCAGGCAAGTCATACCTTTCATATGTAAAACAGGGTAAAAGAACAGAATGCAGAATATAGTTACAGAGATAGGTGCAAGAAAGATCAACTCTAATACAGATCCGTTCAAAAGTCAGCAGGGAGAAAGCTATTCTTGAAACTGTTGGTGCGTGTTTTCAAATTTTTTGCTTCTGCCCGATGGAAAGGTTTAGAAGAGAGTATGACCAGGGTGGAAGGGGTCTTTAATTATGTTGGCTGCTTTCCCGAGGCAGCAAGAAGTATAAACGGAGTCAGTGGATGGAAGACTGGCTGCAGTTGCTATGAGCTGTGACTTTTAAATTAATAAATCAAAGATATTTTCCAAGTGAATCACTCATTCTGTAAGCTTACAAACCAGTGGAAGTTTCCAGAGAAAGATAACTCAACAGCAAGGCCAAAGAAGTTTCATTTCAACATTGATCAGGAAGCAAAAGTGACTGAACTGACTTTCTAGTGTTTTTCTCCTCCAGCAATAATCTATTTTCCCTATTTATTTGTTTGTGTCAGTGTGTAAGAGTGGCTTTATAAAAGAATTAGAATCATAGAATCCCTGCAGTGCAGAAAGAGGCCATTTGGCCCATCCAGTCTGTACCAACCTTCTGAACAGCATTCCACCCAGACCGTCCCCCTCCACCCTATCCCAGTAACCCCACATTTACCATGGCTAATCCACCTACCTTGCACATCCCTGGACATTATGGGAAATTTAGCATGGCCAATCCACCGAAGCTGCACATCTTTGGGCTTGGGGAGGAAACCAGAGCACCCGGAGGAAACCCACACAGAGACAGGGAGAACATGTAAACTCCACACAGACAGTTGCAAGAAGCTAGAATTGACCCAGGTCCCTGGTGCTGTGAGACAGCAGTGCTAACCACTGTTTTAGTTTTAGTTAGAATTGCTCCATGCCAACGTTTATATCTGTTTACATGCATCTATAGACAAATTACTATAATAAGTAATAATTCATGTTTTGTACTTGAAACAAAACATTAACATTTGGGACATCTGGTAGGGCATGATTTATGGCTACTACCCCATTGGGTCATAATAAATGTCGAGGTACTGTTGGCAGGAATGGATTGGATTGGATTGGATTGGATTGGAAATACTGGCAACAAGGATTTGGCTGTGGTATCGTTAAATAATATTGATTGAGAAAAACATCAGGTTCTGTACTGCACTTGGGGGTCATTTTGCTCCGTTGGCTTGATAGCTCATTTGCAATGCAGAGTAACTCCAACAGAGCGGGTTATATCATCTGAGGTTACAATGATGGTCCTTCCTTCTCATCTTCTGTACTTGCCTGAGGCGTAGAGACCTGTAGGTTAAACCACCAGCAGTTGTCTCTTTCAGAGCAGCCCTATGGTCTAGTAGGACTGTGGCAACTTTACCTTTAATGCATTGCACTGGAAACAGCAAAAGATTTCCTGAAGCTGCAGAATTACCACTAGCAGTCTTAAATGACATTTCAAAACCAAGGTCAACTGACTTGTCAGGTAAACTGGAGGTAGCATTGCCTAAAAGGGCAGAGATAGTAGTGTGACTAACATGGCAATTGGGTTCAAATGAAATACAAAATAGAGTCATAGAGTCATACATAGGCATAGACCATAGAACATACAGCACTGAAACAGACCCTTCAGTCCAACTCATCTATGCCAACCAAGTTTCCCAAACTAAACCAGTCCTTTTTAAACTGTGTGCGGCCCATATCCCTCTAAACCTTTCCTCTTCGTGTATCTGTCCTAATGTCTTTTACATTTTGTAACTAAAGCTGCATCCACCACTTCCTCTAGCAGTTCATTCCATATACGAACCACCTTCTGTGTGAACAAGTTACCCCTTGGGTCCCTTTTAAATCTTTCTCCTCTCACCTTAAAAATATACACCCTAGTTTTGAACTCCCCCACCCTGAGGAAAAGACCTTCACTATTCGCATATCTATGCCTCTCATGATTATATAAACCCATATGAGAAGTACTTCAGGTAGTGAAATGTTGGCATCAAGTGAAATCAGGTGAAATTCAATTTCAGTTCAGGCAGCTTGAGTATGAGGAGAGACTTGAAAAAAAACTGGAGATGGAATTCCAAAAGCAAAGAGAAAGAAGGCAAGAGAGAGAAAACAATGAAGGAAAGGGCGGAGAAGGAGAAGGAAAGACAAGAAGAGAAGGAAAGGAAAATGGAATTTAAAAGAATGGAAATGAGAAAACCAGAATTAGAATTGCAAAAAGAAGAACAAGTGAGAGAATATGGGTATAAGTTGAGACTGGAGATGTCAGATGCTGATGGGGAGAACTTGTGTCGCAATTTGAGGTCCAGTAAGGAAGTACTTTAAGTTTGTACAGGCCGTTCTGTAATTTGAGGGAAAGGATATGGAGTCATTCTTTACATCATTTGAAAAACTGGCTAGGCAAATGAATTGAACAGAAAAGGACTGGCCATTGTTTATGAAGAGGACGTTGACAGGTAAAGCACAGGAAATTTATCCGTCACTGGCAGAAAAGGTTTCTCAGAATTATAATTTGTGATTAAAGCTTACTGGATGCATATGAATTAGTGTGTGAAGCATATAGGCAAAAATTTTGGAATTTAAGGAAGCAAAAATGAATTTGAAAGGGTTAAGTAAAATAGTTTTAACAAGTGGATAAAGTCATTATAAGGTAAACTACATCTGAAGCTCTCAGAGCAGTTATTCTCTTAGAGGAATTTAAAACATTAAAAAATTCAGAAACCCTCTGTAATAAAAACTCACATTGAAGATCAAACAGTTACACCTGTTCGATAGACGCAATTAATGAATGACAATTATGAACAGATCCAAAAAACTAAACCTTTTTTCTGTCACCCTCATAAATTCAAAGAAATAGAAAACAAAAAAATTAATGGGAGGCAAATAGCCAGGATAGGTATTGGGAATACCCCAAGGTCTTCTCCTTAGGTAAAAATCAGAAGCCAAGACGTTTCTATTGTAAATGAGGTGGGAAACATTTGTTTGGAATACTGGAAGCTGAAAGAGAAACAATGGGACTTGTTGGAGTTTGTAAGAATTAGTCTGGAATGAAAGCTGGGCAGGAAAAGGCCATAGATCAGACTGTAGCTTTAACTGGAATAGTAGGGACGTTACTACTGCATCACAAGACCCAAAGATCTTTTGCTACTTTAAACAATCCAAAATCAGTAGTCCCCATCCTACCTTATGTGTTTGCATGCATCGCAAAGCCGGACGTTGTGTTATTATCTCTTTAAAGGTTGACATCTCCAGCAATATGGCATCTTCTCATGGAGCTTCTGTAATGGGCTTTGGACCACACCCTTTTGACGCAGAGAAACACACTGAACCAATTTGATGCTTGTAGGTGGAAAATGTGCAAGACATTTGCATCAGCAAAATCTCTCCTACTGATTAAGACCTTGCAAAACATATTCTCTCATAAATGGTCTGAGTATCTTAAGTTTGGAATGTGTTTATGAGGTCCAATAACTCTTTATAAATTAACTTGACATGAAATGTCTCCTGATTTTTCTGGTGGATTTACATCCAGTTATCCCTTCCCATCTCCCTTTGGGTAATCACCTAATAAATCATCATTATAGGGCTATTAGGGGTTAGGAACTTACCATGAGATAAAAGTTAACATCACTGGACTCCCAATGTCAAGCTTTATCAAAGTAATAAAAATAAGATAATGTTGACTAGGAACAGAAAGGCAGCAAGTGAACGTCCACTTGCAATTGTATAAAATTGAATCAACACTACACAAAACATATTAACCTTAGTTCTGTTTCTGTTCTCAGGTGAGCTACGTCATATCAAGACACTAAGACACTGGGGATTGTACGATGTCCTTGTAGAGAAATATGAGTTCCCCTTGGCAGATGCAGCTATATTTTCAGATTTTCTTCATCAAATGCTCAAGTTTATACCAGAAGAACGGGCAACTGCAGCAGAATGCCTCCAACACCCATGGCTGGTGATTTAGGTCCCTGAAAACCTTTTCTTTCCTTTTCTCAGAGATAGTAAGAACTGCCAATGCTGGAGTCAGGGATAGCACAGTGTGGAGCTGGAGGGACCCTTCTTCAGAAATGGGGGAGGGGTAAGGGAGCTCTGAAATATTTCTGAAGAAGGGTCCCGACCCAAAAGTCAGCTTTCCTGCCCCTCTGATGCTACCTGGCCTGCTGTGTTCCTCCAGCACCACACGGTGTTATCTCTTTCTATTATCTGCTGTAATAAAGGTATAACTTTCTACTGGGTACGGAAGTTGCTGGGTAATTGAGGATCTGCAGCATTTGGTCCAATGTGTTCTGTTCAAAGATATCCTCAAGACTTTGGAATGAAATCAAATAAATACAATCTCAAAATAAAATGTAAATAATGAAATAGTCTTTTGAGTGAGGCGATGGCTCATTCAAGGCTTTGTCATGTGAATATAGTGCTTGATAAATCCATTATGGATGATATGATCCTGATTGATGGTAATACTGGCCAAGTCAGATTCTAGTGATTTACCATAAGTTTATTACATACAAAAAGAAATCAAAATGCATTTATGCAAAACAATAAATATTTGCCACAATTATATTACAAATATCAAAAATAAAGGTTCAACACTTTAACCCTCACAACAACCTTACAGATAGTCAAACCTCAGTGAAAAGTAACCCTATTTACACTTTAAAGTTGCTTGTTCAGTTGGCATCATTGTACTTAGATAATTTTTGGCTGTTGTTGCATTCATACTATGCTATTTTCTTTAGTTAATATATCCTAAGGAGACCATTAAAGAAACTACTAGCATGATCAACTTACTTTTAACCTATTTTGTAAATTCTTGCATTCAATACTCTTTAGAATGTTTTCCTGTCTGACACCTTAAAACCTTCCATTTCTGGAACCTTCCTTTTCTAACTTCTAAGCCACTCAGGTCTTCTTTTCTCCTGGATGACTATTTTGGAGACTGCTAAACTGCATCACTGATGTTACAGGCTTTACTTTTATTCACTCAAGGATGTAGGCACCACTCCCTAAATGCCCTTGAGAGGGTGGTGTTGAGCTGCTTTCCTGAACCATTGCAGTCCATTTGCTGAAGGGAGATCCATAATGTCGTTGGGGAGGGTGTTCCAGAATTCTGACCCAGTGATGCTGAAGGAGCAGTGGTATATTTCCAAGTCAGGGTAGTGAATGGCTCTGGGGGTTCGGGGTCAGGAAGGCGGGGGGGGGGGGGGGGGGGGGGGGGGGGGGGTGGATCTTGCAAGTGGTGGTGGTCCCATGTATCTGCTGCCCTTGTCTCTCGAGATGATAGTAGCCGTGGATTTGGAAGGTGTTGTCTAGTAAACCTGGGGAATTCCTACAGTATATCTTGTAGATGGTACATACTGCAGCTACTGTGTGCCACTGGTGGAGGGAGTGAGTTTTGTGGACGTGGTGCCAATCAACGGGGTTATTTTGTCCTGATGGTATCAAGCTTTTCGAGTACTGTTGGAGCTGCACTTATCCAGGCAAATGGGGAATATTCCATCACAATCATGACTTGTGCCTTATGGATGGTTGTCAGCCTTCATAGAATTAGGAGGGGAGTTATTCACCATAGGATTCCTCGTATCTGACATCTTGAGGCTACGGTATTTATATGATTAGTCTGGTTCAGTTTCTGGTCAATGGTAACCCCCAGGATATTTCTTTGTTAATGGTCTGCTTTGTGCTCTGAAAGAAAACTACACATTCATTGACCTTCTGGGTGGTTCTGTTTCTTTCTGAAAGGCAACATATTTCTGTCTTCATCTTGTTGTGCCATAGGACACTTTCTTCAGGGCAATTGCCCAATATTTTTCTCTCTTTTGCACTAGTTTTTAAAAGCACCAAACTATTCACATTAAGCATTTTTAAAGCCTTATTTAAATGCAAGTAAACAAATTTCTAGAGTACCTGCATTTATCTCAGAACTCAAAAACTAAACTAAAACTATGTCTCCCCTCCCCTTAACCTACATGACACAGTCATTCAATTCAAACTTAAAGCTACACATGGTTCCATTCACTGTAGAATAAGTTTCCAAATAATAATAAATGAAACATCCATCACACAAATAATAGAGGTTTTCTTCCCCTGTATTTTTAAATATGAGACACAAATCTTGGTGGTGGTGCTCAGCACCTGCATAGTGATAGGAACCTGTGGAGAAGCTTGGGTGTAGACATGGTTCCAAAGAAAAGTCATCATAGAATTATGGAGGCACTTTATCACAGAATCCCTACAGTGCGGAAAGAGGCCATTTGGCCCATCGAGTCTCCACCAACCATCTGAACAGCATCTCACCCAAACCCAACCCCTACCCTATCCCCTTAACTTTGCATTTACCATGGCTGATCCACCTAACCTGCACATCCCTGGACACTCTGGACAGTTTGGCATGGCCAATCCATCTAACCTGCATATTTTGGACTCAAAATGTTAACTTGTTGTTGTTGCAAGTTGTTGATAAAATCTGACTAACTGGATGTGATCCCTTTGATTCCAGGCACTGTAGATTGTACTGAGTTGAGTTCTTTCTGATCTGATGTTTTTCATATTGACAGGCGACTTGGTTAGGACTGATTCTGTCTCTACATGTTCAAAGGTCTAAGTCCTTGAAAATGTATAAAAAATTTGTCAAAGCTTTCTGAAAATAAGTTGGGTTTTTATTTCTTAAGAACAGACATATGCTGCATCTTCCTCCCACACATTGGTTAATTATTCATTCAAGAACAAAAATGCTAAAGAGATATGAAAATCTAAGGAAAATAACTAGGATTCTGCCCTAGAAATTAAGTGCTGGTATCTGCAATTGAAAATGGAAGGAAATGACCTTGGCAAGGGAGAGAATTAAATAGAATTACATAGAAACATAGGACAGAAACAGGGATACTATCCAATGTTGATGCCTGGTTCATCACATTGAAAAGTTATTTAATGTCTTTCTTTAATATTAAGACAGGGTCTGTGGAGTGAGAGAGAAACAAAGTCAACATTTTGAGTCTGATAGGTGCAGGTTAGATGGATAGGCCATGCCAAATTGTCTGGAGTGTCCATAGATGTGCAGGTTAGGTGGATCAGCTATGGTAAATGCAAGGTTAAGGGGATAGAGTAAGGGGGCTGGCTTTGGGTGAGATGCCGGGGGTGGATATTAATTTTCTGGGCACATATATAAAGAGAATACCTGTAACACTGACCGTGAGATGAGAGGGGTAAGACCGAGCAAATCAATAAGCATTCTTCACAAGAAGAAAAGATACATATCTCTTGATTTCAAACTCACTAACTAACTTGGAATCTATTAACACTCAACAGATGTGTGCTTGTATTTGTACTTCACATTAGCCTCCTCCCAATTCTCTTCATAGTCCACCTTCAACATTTCTTTTATTCTTTTCTCCCTTTGTGTTCAGCTAGATTTTCATTAAGTGCATTTATACTCTTTTCCTCAATTACTCCTGTGGAAGCAAGCACCATATTCTTCACTCTCTTTGGGTAAAAAATATATTCTGAATTAATTAATGGTAACAATCTAAAATTTATGGCCCCTAGTTTTAGCTTCCAACACCTTCTCTATGTGTATAACCATTTCACAATTTCACGACTGCTGTTTGGGTCATCTCTCAGCTATCGGTTGGTTTGCGTGGTGGATTGGAACATTGTGCCTCACCCATGATGAAGGTTTAGTGTGTCATTGTGTGAGTCTTTTTGTGAGACAATGTCCAGGATTATCTCGCTGTGAAATAACTTGGGATGTCTGGTTGCCTCAACAAAATAAGTGAAAAATCAGTTTATTAAGGACAGGACTTGACTAGTACAGTTATTGTTGAATAGAACAGGACAGATAATTTGACTTATCCCTATTATTCAGATGTGTATTGAATGCCAAAGCAGCCAGGAATTAAAAACACTCTGGATTATGACAGTTGGCCTTTGGCAATACGGCTTACTTTGCACAGTGTACGATAAATGATGCATGCTGTAATGGCAAACATTAATTATTGAAAGAATGCAGTACATCAGTTAAAGAGTTAAGCTTCTTTATTCAGGGGAGAAGGGGAGATAGAGAGGACTTTGCTCATATGGGACCAGCAAGTGATAAAATAAGAAAATGCTGGACATACATCTCTGAAGAAAGGTCATCAAACTGAAACATTAACTCTTTTTGTCTACTGCAGATCCTGCCAAACCTGCTATTTCCAACATTTTAAGTCTATATCTCAAATTTCCAGCATCCCAGTACTTTGCTCTTGCATTAATGGATCCCTTTTGTTGTTCAATTGTAATTCAGTATCCAAAGACTGAATCGTCTTGCTAAAGGAACAAGATGAAAGCAGGG